TATTATTATTATTATTATTATTATTATTATTATTATTATTATTATTATTATTATTATTTTGGTGTTTCATACTAATTATTATGAATTTTATTTACAGACTTCTGCACTACACGAGGTTTATGGCGCATTATCCGATATGCAACCATATGTGCCGCAAATCCCTCCAGAAGCGCAGACCGGCTTCCAACAGTCGTACAGCTTTGTCTTCTCTTCTCTGACTATTGGGGGCCAGGGTGTTCCACATGGGGAGGCGTCCATCAAGTTTTCTCCCAGGACGAATACATTCCCCCCATGAAAACACAGTCACACACGGCCAGACATCAACCCGCCCCCAACATTGTTGGGGGTAGAAGATCTCGAACTCATCCCCACACACAGCCGTCTGCCCAGCCCTTCCCACCTCAGCAACTGTCTTCCCAGCCCTTCCCATCTCAGCAGCCGTCCGCCCAGGACTACTATATACCTCAGCCGCCCGAGCCTCAACAAGGTGAGATTTTAAATTATCAATTTTTTTTTTCCAGTCCAACTTATGATTTCTTTTTTCCAATTGAATTACTCAGATGATGAAGAAGATGAAAATGACCAAGCTTTTCAAACTAACACGCTTCTCACACCTCAACCTTCGTCTTCTTCTCAAATCGTATATACTCGGAGGGGGTCCAGACAACGCAGGCCTCCGAATCCATACAATCCTTCCTAGTTAGTTGTGTTGAATTCGTGGATTTTGTGTTTCATTTTCAATTGTTGGATTGTATGTATAAACCAAATTATACCGTTTTGTATATATTGTTTGTTCAACAAATTATTGTGTTTCATTTGTTCTTTATAGTGTATGTTGGATTATTATCGGGCGGATATGTTGATATTAGTTGCTCGAACAAGTATATTTGATTTTAAGGTAAATCTGATTTTACCAATTTTTTTCAATTTTTTTTCTTTTTAAAATGTATTTTGACATACGTTTTATTGTTAAAATAAATTAAAAAAAATTAAAACGTATATATGAAATACATTTTTATGTCAAAAAAATTAAAAAAACAAACGAATTATATAACGCATTTCTGAAATACATTTCAATGTTTAAAAAAATTTAAAAAAAAATAAATTTAAAATGTATTTTATAAATACGTTCAAAAAAATTTCAAAAAAAAAAACGAATTATAAAACATTTTTCTGAAATACGTTTTGATTTTTAAAGAAATTCAAAAAAAAAATAAAAAAATTTAAAACGTATTTTATAAATATGTTTTACTGTTTAAAAACAATTCAAACAACAATTATTTTTAAATTTGTTGATTAATTTACTTGATTAAAGTCATTAAACAAAACGTATTAGAAGAATACGTTTTATTTTGAAAAAAATATTTAAACCGTATTCCTTGAATACGTTTTACATTAGAAAACATATTCCTTGAATACATGTTTTTTATTTTGATCGACTCAGTTTTTTCTTTTTTTCTTTTTTTGTCCGGTCGTCCTTCTTGCAACTCAGTGTTGCATTCCCTCTCTAACCTTTCGTCATTCAACCACTAGCCTTTAATGAGATAAACGGGATAGAACAGTATCGCACCGCCCGTTGGATATCGCCACCCGAAGTCGCATGGAGGATCTTTAGATTTTATATGGGCGACATTAGGCCTGCGGTCATTCATTTGCAGGTGCATCTACAGAATTATCACCGCTTGTCCTTTAGGAAGAGCCGAAGAGCGATAGATTGCATAGGATTGTAAATAATCCTCACAATAGGAAAACCATGCTCACTTAATTCTTCTACATGAATGCTAATGATCCTTATGCACAATCATAGAACTTGACATACCTACCTCCCGGGTGTTCCAACTGAAGATCCACCCCCGATACGTTCAAAATTGCCGATACGTCTGTGTACGCATCCGGGAGAGAATCATCGTCCAGGACGCCTTGATAGGGCAACCAATCGAACTGTAAAAAAAAAATAACAATTGAATTAGTAATTAAGTTATTACAAAATTAAAAAAAGAAAACAAAGATAAATCACAGAAAAATAAGAACTGTAAAAAAAAAAAAGAAAAAACAATTAAATTAAGAACATTACATCATCCTCTCTCAGCCCTGTCAACTGATCTCGGTAGGCGGCTAATGTACTGGCTATGTTTGACTTAGATTTTCGGTCCCACCCACCTTAAAAATCACAAAAAAAAAAGTTTGTAATCACAAAATTTGATAATGAAAATAATGTACGGATTAAATAAAAATAAAAGTGATTACCTCGCTCCCAATGGACAATCTGGCAGAGTATGAAACGTACTTTTCTTCACTATTGGGTGAATACGAGGGATATGCTCTCATGCCCAAACCTCCACAAATGGACATTAATTTTGTTATTAGGTATTAGTCGAAGTAAGAAAAATAAAATATTAAATTTTCAAATAATAATTAAATAAATTTACCTGGATCAATTGAACGCAGTTCTTGCTCCACTTCTCATTGGCCACGAACGAGGTCGACAACGCTCTGTATACTCCGGCCAAGAGCGCTGAACCCCAACTATACCCCTTAATACCATCTATGTCCTCCAGCAGCTGGAGCCAGTAAAGTGGGACGCCATCCGCCCGCTGGTCGGGGAAGATGAAGGACCCAATGCACCACAAGATAAGGGCCCTCTCCCTCTGCTCGTACACGATGTTCGGTCGTCCTTCTTGCAACTCAGTGTCGCATTCCCTCTCTAACCCTTCGTCATTCAACCACTGGCCTTTAATGTGCCACTTTCTAGGTTCCTCTGCCACTTCAGGCAACGACAACGCATCTCGTCGTACCAAACCTTATACCTGTTTTTCCACATTGAATTATATTTATAAACAACTAAAAATTTTAATGAACCAAAATAAAAAAATAAAAATTATACAATAAGTAAATAAAGCATATACCTTTTTTCCCATCTACCACTCGTCCGTGGACCGGTTGTCACCTCGTACAGGGATCTCGTCGCGTTCGAACATCTCACCTTATGAGTTGCGGTCGTACTCTCCAATTCGTAATATACGTCATAGTGGGCACTAGCAATGGCATTACTGCATCTCGTGGACTTCTTTTGTTCCTGCTCAAACAAGTCCAAAGTTTTGTTGTAACTCTCGGACATATTGGTCGTCAATGTACCCCATCTACATCCTCAATGTACCCCATCTACATCCTCCGTCGTCTCCAACCAGGGTCCACTTGTCCATAGGAATTCTGAACAGGTAATCGTATGCATACGGATTAAAATCCGAAAGCCGCACTCTTATCTGTTGAAATTTTTGCTCTGAAAGCTGTGAACCCAACTCCCAACACCAATTTTGAATTTTTCTATTATGTACCTAGTAACCACGTTTTTCCGAAGGTGTCGAAGACAAATCCGGTGATATGCTGCGGGTTCTTGCCAAGCCGCCAATGAATCCACGACACTCTGTAAGCCAGCATCCCTGTCCGAAAGAAAGCATATCTGTCTGTCGCTGACAACATGTTGCCGGAGATTTGTCAGGAAAAATGACCAGCTTTCCCTGCTCTCTTCATCCACAATCGCATACGCGATTGACAATAACCACTTATTGGCAGTCTGTGCAACGACCACAAGCAACTTCCCCTTATACGAGCCACGCAAATGTGTGCCGCCATGCTAATCACCGGCGGGCATCTCTGGAAGGTCTGAATGGCGGGACCAAAAGACCAGAAAACAAATTTGAATTCTCTGTGCTCATAGTAGGCCGTCATTTCCCCATCCTGCCATTCCCACTGTACAACTGTAGTGGGATTCGCGCTTTGAAGCGCCGCAAAAAACCTGCACGTTACAAAACGTAATCGTCAATACATAAACATAGTGAGACAATTAACACGTACATTTTTAATAAATTTTTTCTTAGTGTGGGAGTTGTGCGAAGTTCTCTTCCCAAGTGCCATACAATCGGCCGATGGCTTTTTTCCTCCCGTGCCACGCCTTCTTATAGCTCACATCAACTTTCCAACATTTTTTGACATCCTCCTGGATCAGGGTAACACTGTACTCGGGTTTCTTTTGAATCTTGGTCATGACAAGATTTGAAATCATTGTGGCGGTTACATTTATGTGGTAATTTTTTTCGACTTCTTGCATACAATTATGCCTCTCGGTTCATTCCGTTACTTCCCACAGTTCATGAACCCGTGTGCAGTGCGTCACCCGAGCCTTCCACGGACAAGGTTGATCTTCGTCAGATTTGCACACCACCTTGAATGATTTCTTATTCGAATATGTTGTCTTAACCTCCCTCAATCTACTAACGTTCCAATTCATGATACCAACTGTGCTTCTTCCTTGGACCGGAAAACAGTACCCAAACGGATAGTTTTAACATTTCCATTCCAACGTAACAGAGCATGCTCATCCCAGTCTACACACGACGGGCCCCACTCACCCATCTCGCGATACATGTGCTGACCGCTACTAGGAAATGGGTGCTCTTCAATAAATTCTGGTTCACTCTTCTCGTTTATTGATCTATCCGATTCCGATTCCGATTCCGAGGTATCATCTGTGAAATCGTCTTCTCCAGGAATGAAATTATCATCACTTTCTTCTCTAACTGTTGAGTTTGTCCCTTCGCCAAAATTACGAACATGCGAAGTTGACGTACCCTCAAAATCAGGCACTCCCTCGTAAAATGGGGGAACATCCTCAAACTGTGTAATCACTGTAGGTGCCTGAGTAACCTGCTTCAACTCTAAATGCAAATACACATAGGATAAACGAAAAAATAATATATCCACTGCAAAGCACTATCAATATTCAAATTTCCAATATTCCACGAACCATTGGGTCGGTTAGTCAGTAAACTAATCCCCTCAATTATCCAACCATCTCGACGGAACCCAAAATTTTCATAAAGTATATTTACAAATTGTTGAAATGATATCTTCTTCCCAATGCTAAATGAACCATCTGGACGGTTTATAAAATCTGAAAATGAATCTAAAACCTCTTTGGGATGATTCCAATACACATTTACAAAGTATGGTCCGGTAGACGCCATTTATACCTGTTAAAAATAAAATCACAAATTCTTTTATCAAACCCTAATACTCATAATCCATCAATAACATATAATACACTTTCAACCAAAAAAAATCCCAATCAAATAATCCTTCAAAACCCTAATACCCTTATCGAACAATAACATAGAATTCATCTATAATTCCGATAAATTGAAACCCTAATTTCGAAAAACACTAACCTCAACAACAACCAAACAATTACACAATTGACGATTTACACACAAAATTTCAATCTCCAATTCAACATACACACATAATCGTTAATCAATTAGCAATTTCATTCTTCAAACACCACCACATTCAAACATATTATAACAATTCTCAATCTCCAAATAACTTCAAACAAATATAAAAAGTTAAGATAAGCCAATATACCTCGTGGGAATGAATTAACTGAAAATAAGGCTTGTGTCGCTGTTGTCGGTTCATGTCGGGGTGAAGATTGGATCGAGTTTTTTTTTTTTTTTTTTTTTTTTTTTTTTTTTTTTTTTTTTTTTTTTTTTTTTTTTTTTTTTTTTTTTTTTTTTCCGAAGTTTTTTCGCTCTTTGTGTTTTCTCTGAGTTTTTGCTCTCTGCTCGAAATGAATGGAGAAGAAAAGATTTTTTTAATATATTTAACATGAAAACTTATTCATCGAATACGTTTTACTAGTATTTAATTGTAAAACGTATTCGTTTAAATATATTATTTTATTCAGGCGCTTTTTTAATATTTTTTTACAAATAAAAAAAAATAATTATTTATTCAAAACGTATTTATGAAGTACGTTTTACAGAAAACGTATTTGTGTAATACGTTTATATTTCTTTATTTAATTTAACGTCACAATTTTGAAATTGTTTTTTTTTTAATTTACAAAATTAAATTGAAAACGTAAAATAATTTTTTTTTTTTAAAAACGTATTCAAAGAATAAGTATTTTTTATTTTGGTCCACCCTTTTTTTTTGTCCACTTATTTTTT